TTATGGTGGCTGCACTGGTCGTTCACGACCACATTCAACGGCAGCTTCCTCGGTATAGGGGGTCAGTCCCTGGCCGTGCTCCCAACCTGAACCGCAACAGGGAGAGAGGCCACGCCCTGCTTTATGCCGATACTTTTCCAACAAACCGCTCTTCAAGCCGGATAAATTCCGTCGCCGTTTTCGAATGGCGAGGCATGTGTTCAATCGTATTCGAGAGGGAGTGGTTGCTCATGACCCATAGTTCGAGTGCAAGACGGATGCCCTTGGCAAGTTTGGGTTCTCCTCTTACCAGAAATGCACCGCGGCCGTCCACATGCTTGCCTATGGAATTCCAAGCGATCTGGTGGATGAGTACGTGCGTATGAGCAAGACAACATGTCTGATGTCAATGTATAAGTTCTGTCAAGCTGTGATCGAGGTGTTTGGCCCAGAGTACTTGAGGCAGCCAACTGCCGCTGATACAGAGAGATTGTTGGCGACCAACGCAGCTAGAGGCTTCCCAGGCATGCTTGGCAGCATATATTGTATGCACTGGGAGTGGAAGAACTGTCCATTTGCTTGGCAGGGCCAGTACAAGGGGCATGTCAGCGAGTGCACTATCATATTAGAAGCGGTGGCATCGCAGGATCTCTGGATATGGCATTCTTTCTTCGGTATGATAGGTTCTCACAATGATATCAGCGTGTTACAACGTTCTCCAGTCTTCGCGAGGCTTGCAGAAGGCCTCTCCCCACCTGTCAACTTTGAGGTCAACGGCCACCAGTACAACAAAGGATATTATCTAGCTGATGGTATATATCCTCAGTGGTCAACTTTTGTGAAGACAATCTCGAAGCCTCAAGATGAGAAGAGAAAGAGATTTGCCCAAATGCAAGATAGTGCTAGAAAGGATGTGGAACGTGCTTTTGGTGTGCTTCAATCCCGATGAGGCATCGTTCGATACCCTGCACTGTCATGGGATGAAAGAAAGCTTTGGGAGGTGATGACTATCACCTGCTTGTGTGATCATGCACAACATGATCGTCGAGGACGAGCGTGATGACAATATTTTCGACCATGGATTTGACTATCAAGGTGACAATGTTGAGCCCTGCATCAAGAACCGGCCACGTTTGATCAGTTCTGTCAGTTCCATCGTGAGCTGCGTGATTGGCACACTCATAAGGCTCTTCAAAATGACTTGGTTGAACATGTCTGGGAGCATATTGGCAACCGATAGATGTATTGGTTCGTTTTATGTTCATTCAAAACAATTTCGATTTGGTTGTAAGACTATCTTTATTAGAGACAATTTTGATTGGGTTGTAAAACTATTTTAATTTTCAAATAATTAATATTTGAACGTGCAAACTTGTTTTCATATGAAAATATGGGTATTTTTAGGCCCTGACGGACGAGATGGAGCAAAAGGATGCGGCCGCGTGCTGGCCGCACGGCCACCGCATTTCAGGACACGCCCGGACACGACCCTATTATCCTACCCAAACGAACAGAATCGAGACAAAACGGACGTCCGTTTGGGATCGCGCGGTAGAGTTGGCCTAAGAACCACCCAAACACATGGTCTTGTTTTCTTAGCCCAAAGGGGGAAGCTTCCACAATAATAGAAAAAGAAAAGAAGAGGAAGATGCTTTCATTGCTTTATTTGATCAAGACACGGATCAGTGGGTGACAAAAGCTAGCCAGGCAACATGCCAATGAAAACGATCGAATCGATCATGATGAAGAAATAATTCGGCATGTGAAGCCCTGGACCTACCCTTTTGTAAAAAGCATCTTTATTTTCTTGAGATGTTGTAAAAGCATCTTTACCATCTCGTCGCAACGCACTCAGACACAGTCACCTACCTACGTAGCCACTCGTGAATGATCCATCCATTTGCAGGGGAAATATGGCCCCCTTCCGGCCGGAAAGAAGGGGGAGAAGGTGGTCGCCATCAGTGGCGGAGCCA